GAAAGGCTTATACTGAAACACCTAGGCTGTCTCATTTTTATAATTGTTCGGAAAAATCTCTGAAGATCTGTGATTCCTCTCTTTCTTACCTTGGGATCTTTTGCCAACAGGACTATGATGCAATGGTGAAGCTGGTAGAAACACTGGAAATGCTGCCTACGTGTGATTTGGCTGACAAACATAATATTAAATTCCACTATGCATTTGCACTGAACAGGTAAGAATGATGATTATGTGTAGAGTTTTGAAACAAGCTACCTGTTAAATTCTGCTTCCTTCATTCGTTCAGTGCTCATTGAATATGAACTAGATTATATGCTCAATGCCAAGGTTATGAAAATGGGCAAGGCATGGTATTGGTCTTCAGAGGCTTCATCTTTGGAACATGTTCTAGCTGTGAGATTAGCCATGTAACTAAATTGCTCTAGCTCAGAGCCATAATTGTCTTAATGAAGGTTTGTTCAAAGTGCTGTAGAAGCATAGCAGAGGGGGGAAGTCATTCTGCTTGGGAGTTTTCTGAGGTCTTTGGGCTAGGTTTTGAAGACTTAGCATGAATTAACTCATAGGTAGGAGAGAGAGTGTGGGATGGGAGTGGTGAAAAGGTCATTGCACTTGGCCAGAACAGAAACGTGAGCATAGAGTTTTTCATGTGTACTGTGCCTTCAGGGAACATCCAGTGTGACCAGGTCACAAGATACAGGTGAAGCAAATGCATGCAATGAGGCTCAGTGTGGAGGGTGGGACCATGTCTTGAAAGGATCTTATATACATGAATAATGAGTTTATAGTGTCTTGTAGACTGGGGGGGACTAGTTTAAGCAACAAGATTGACATTGTATGATAGGAAAAGAGGGTGCTGTCCTTATGTACTAGTATAATGTGAACTTTGGAATTCTAATTACTAGGCTAGGTAGAATATGTAAGACTTGGAAATTCAGGCCTGGAGACCATGAGCCTTAAAAGGTTATATGATAGGGGTATTAGCTAAAATACTGTAACAAAGAGACACCAAATGCAATTATTTAAATTAGACTGAAATTTCCCCTTCACATAGCATTCTAGAGGTGAGTGGACCAGGCTAGTGGCATAGCGCTGCTCCAGAAAGTACAGGGACCTAGCTTCTGAACATTTTGTAGCTCTTTCATTTTTGAGAGTATAGTCCTCTACTTCAGTTGAAGTTAGGTCACTGTTACTCTGTGTTCCAGCCTATGGAAGGGAGGAAAGAGTAGACCCCAGGGCAAGCAATTTCCTTTAAAGTGAGTAAAATTTGCATATGCTACTTCTACTCACATTCCACTGGAGAGAGTATAGTCATATGATCCCATCCAGCTGTAAGGTGAGCTGGGAAATGTAGTCTCTAGCTGGGCAGCCATGTACCATCCAAACTCAGCTACTATGGATTTGGAGGATAACTAGGAGTTTGCCATATCCAACCTCAGAAAATCCCAGATGCCTAAATGTCTTCATCCTACAGTCTCCTTTCCTCCCCTGAAAAGATATAGGAAGAGGAGCAGCATTAGGTGACTACGGTGAGAACTGTGCCCAGATAGATACACTTCCCACTGGGCCTGTCCTCTGCTGGGGCCAAGAATGGTCATATTGACTCATACAGCAGAAAACTCTGGGAGGGAATTCAAACTTGGCTTGAGAGCCAAAGAGTTCTGGCACCTCCTCATCAACCTTCCGTGGCCAACACTTTCCACAGGGAATAAATAAAGTGAGGGTTGGAGGTAACCTGAGTCAGAGGACTCTTGTGTCTGGTTTCTCAGAGGCTTGTATTTGCTTCAGCAGCTGGATTAGGCTACAGACTGTGGGCCTGCTATTGGCAGTATCTGCAGGACAGCAGCAACACAGAAGCCCACAGATTTAGAAGTCTCGTAAACAGAAGAGGTCACATCTCTTTCTCTCTCTCTCTCTCTCTGTCTCTCTCTGTCTCTGTCTCTGTCTCTCTCTCTCTCTCTCTCTCTCATATTGAAATAAAATGTACAGGTAGTGAAATGCATAGCACTTACTATACAGTTTGATGAGTTTTGATATATACATATAAACAACACCTTTATCAAAGTATAAAACATTTCCATCCACCCCCCCCCCCGAAAATTCCTTTGTGCCCCTTTGCGTGCAATCCCCACCCCTCCATAGGCAACCACTGTGCAGTGCTTGTCTCCATAGATGAGTTTTTTCTGTCCTTGAACCTTTATATAAATAGAGTCACATAGTACGTACTATTTTGTGTGTGGCTTCCTTCACTCAGCATCATGTTTGTGAGGTTCATTTGTATTGTCGGACGTATCAGTAGTTCATTCATTCTCATTGCTGTTGAGTATTCTGTTGTATGGAATATGCCACAATTGATTTATCCATTTTACTACTGGTAGATCTTTAGGTTGTTTCCAGAATCCAAGTGCTGTGATAATGCGTGTGATAGCTTTCTATTTGGAAGCAGAATGGCTGGAATCATGCACCAAAGAGCTTGTGCGCCTCTCCTTCACTGTGGCTTTCTTGGCAAAATTCAAGAGAATTGTTATGCAAAGTGATTTGGTTTTGCTTGGAGACCCTTCCAGATTCCATTCTGTCCTATCAGCTCATTACTGTTATCCAAAGCCTGGCTGATTTTGTCCTTGTCCTTGTGAAGTTTTTCTATCAAAGGCTGTTTCCTCTATTTACCAGTACCTATATCAGGTACCCAAGTATGGAAGCTGTCATGGCTCTCTGCTCACTTCTAAAAGGTTTATTTTTCTCTGGAAATCACTTAATCAAGAAAGTTCTTTCTAGTCAGCATCATTTTTGTTTTCTGTGTTTGTTATTGTTACCACATGAGTTGAAGGCCTTTCATATTCTTCTATATCTTAATTGGAAGAAGTCTCTTAAAAGGTTTTTTGATGGGCAACCTAAGATAAAGTTTGTTCTAGGAAGGACACTAGTTTAGAGACTTTTTGCCTGTTAATTCTCAGGCCTGGCTTAGGAGAAAGATTTTTTGGAACTCTTATCTGTCTCTTACACTATGAACTTTATCTTACAGACATGCTATATAGAAAATTTAGGCAGACAGACAGGATGGTTAGTGACAAATCAATACTCTGGCAGACCTGTAGCTCATGGTAACCTTGTTAGGTAAACAAAGTCAAACATACTTTTTAGATGATGAACTGAGGCACAGAAAGGATAAGTAACTTGCTCAAAATTTAAATGGGTAGTAAATGATGTAAAAATAACCAGAATCTCGCTTTATATGATTCCCTCCCAGTCCAGTGTTCTGATTTTACTCTGTGCATTTTATTGAGTAAATGCTATATAAATATGTTTGCATATTTTTGTGAAATTTTGAAAAAAAAAAGCAGTTGTCCCTTGAATTCCAATCTCTGATTTCACTCAAATTCCAAAAGTGACCTCTTTTGTCAGTTTAGCATATATCCTCTCAGACAGTTTTCTATGCATTTACATATTATTAAAATATGTCATACTGCAGAGTTTTTAAAATACAGGAACATTTAGGATATGTTCTGTTTTTTCTTTGTTCACTTAGTAATCAATGTTTGGAGATATTTCCATGTCAATACATTTAGACTTGCTCAGTTTGTCATTAACAGACGTTTATTGAGTACCTCCTTTGTATAAGTTCCACTTCTAAGCACTGAGACACAGCAGAAAACAGACCAGACAGAAAAATAAAATCCCTCTCTCAGAGCTTACATTGTGTAATGAGAAGGAGGGACAATAAAAAAATAAAATAATTTAAAAAGACTATAGGGATGGCTAGTAGGGCAGGGAGGTTGCAGTTATAAATTGAATGCTCAGAGAAGACCTCACTTACTAGAGAATGACATGACGGAAAGATCAGGAAGAGATGAGGGAACATACCATGTAAATATATGGGTGAAGAGCATTCCAGGTAGAGGGATCAGCACGGGGAACAGCCGAGAGGCTTGTGCAGCTGGAACAGAGTAGGTGAGGAAGAGTGAGTGGTAAGAAATAAGGTTGGAGAAATAACTGGGAACCAGATCTTGTAGAACCTTGTAGGCCATTTTAAGAAAATTGGCATTTGCTCTGAGATGGGAGCCATTGATGGAGTTGTTTTATATATCTATATACATACACACACATATTTATATACGTAAGCACATATATATGACATATAATAGTATATAAGTTTAAGATAAACAACACAATGGTTCAATATTTGTATGTATTGTGGAATGATCACCACAATGAATCTAGTTAATATCCATCATCACACATAGTTAAAATTTTTCTTGTGATGAGACCTTTTATGATCTTAGCAACTTTCAAATATACAATACAGTATTATCAATTATAGTCACCATGCTGTACATTACATCCCCAAGACTTATTTATTTTATAACTGGAAGTTCGTATCTTTTGACACTTCTCATTCTTTTTGCTCACCTCTCACCCTCTGCCTTTGGCAGTTTTCTTTTTATCTTTTTTTAGAATCCACATAAAGTGAAATCAGATGGTATTTGTCTCTCTCTGTCTGATTATCTCACTTAGCATAATACCCTCAAGGTCCATCCATGTTGTCGTAAATGGCAAAATTTCTTTTTTTTATAACTGAATAATACTCTATTGTGTATATATCATTTTCTTTATTCATCTATTGACGGACACTTAGTTTTTTTCCATATGTTGGCTATTGTAAATAATACTTCAGTGAACATGGGAGTGCAAATATCTTTTCAAATTATTGTTTTTGTTTCCTTTGGATAAATACCCAGAAATAAAATTGCTGAATCATACGGTAATTTTATTTTTAATTTTTTGAGGAACCTGCATTCTGTTTTCCATAGTGGCCACACCAATTTACAATCCCACCAACAGTACATGAGAGTTCCCTTTTCTCCACATCTTCACCAATACTTGTTATTTGTTGACTTTTTGATAATAGCCATTCTAACAGGTGTGAGGTGATAGCACATCATGGCTTTGATTTGCATTTCTCCGATGATTAGCGATGTTGAACATCTTTTCTCTGTCTGTGAGCCATCTGTATGTCTTTTTTGGAGAAACGTCTATTCAGATCCTTTTCCCATTTTTAAATCAGATTTTGTTTTATGTGGAGTTGTATGAGTTTTTTATATATTTTACATATATATTTATATATTTTTTATATATTAACCCCTTATCAGATAGATAATTTGCATGAAGAGTTTTGAGTAGAGGAGTGACATGATATATTACTTAGGGTTTAGCAGGATCACTCTGACTGCTACGTTAAGAAAAGATTTAGAGTGGTGAGGGTGGAAGCAGGAAATAATCGTGACTTGGACCAGAGTGGTAAATGCGAGAGTCATGAGGAGTATGCCAATTTTGGGTATGGTTTGAAATAAAAGCCAGCAGAATTTGTTGATTGAGTAAAGGGTTTTAGAGGAATCTAGCATGGCTCCAACATTTTTGGCATGAAAAACAGGAAAATGGAGTAGCCATTATTAAATAATGCAGAGAAGACTGTGAGAAGACAGGTTTGATCGGACAGTCAAGAGTTTGGTTTTGGACATGTTAAGTTTGAGGTATCAGACACAAGTGAGATGTCAAGAGTGCACTTGGATATGCAAATCTGGAGTTTAAGGGAGAGCTTTGAGCTGGAAATAGAAATTTAGGAGTCATCAGAATGGTTTGAAAAATCATGACACTGGATGATATCAGTAAGGGATTTAGTATTGTTACTGATAAAGAGAAAGGTCCAAGGGTTTGTGTCTAGGCATGCTCCAGTGTTAAAAGATCAGGGAAATGAGTAGGAACCAGAAAATTAGACTAAGGAAAACCAGGAAAGCTTAGTGTCCTGCAAGCCAACTTAAGAAGGTGGTCCAAGGAGGAAGGAGTGGTTAACTGTCAAATGCTGCTGGTAGTTCAGATAAGACAAAGGCTGAGAATTGATCAGTGGATTTAGCAGTGATACAGATGTAGTGAATCAGAATGTCCAAGATAAGAAACATGATGCCTGGATCTCATCTCTGGAGATTCTGATTTAATTGGTCTGAAGTGCAGCCTGGACACAAGGGTTTTTAAAATTCCCCAGGGCATTCTAATATGCAGCCAAGGTTAAGACCTCACTATCTTAGATCATTCCCATCTCTTAAATTGTGAAATGGCCTATTGTCAGAAACAGATGTTGCTGGACTGATTAAACATAGGAGTTTTTATCTATAGGCTTTTTCTTGGATACTTTGGGATCTGAAAATGATAAGCAGATCTGAAAATAGATTATTAACCACTAAAGGATTAGCTATTTAGCACCTGTCTTAAAAGGGCTTTTAAGATGAAAATGTCTTTGCTTTTACATTTTTGCAAATGTTCGATTTTTTTTTTGTTTTATCCTCAAAAGACCTTTTATTTTGAGTAACAAAAGTTTCAAGTTAATGAAAAAAATATGAGGAAAATCTCGACGTAATTGATTTAAAGAAAACCAAACAAATCTGAACTCATATCAATAATTAAACATTTAAAAGTTAAGTACATTCTTTCCTGAATCCTGAGTATTTCACACCTCAGAAGTTGGCTCACAATAAATATAGAAATTTTGTACCTCATTAAAGTTTTAATCTTTTTCATTTTCTTGCCATAGACTCTAGAAATTATTTATATCCTTTAGTAAATTTGAGTTGGGTTGATATTTATTGGCTCTTAAAAATTAAAGAATATCATGGGTGGGCTGTTCATCGAGATCTGGTTTGCAGGCTGGTAAAATTTTAGTCTGTGGACAAAGAGAGGAAAGATCAAATATATCAGTACAAGACCAAGGTAGAAAATAGAAAAAGTCAGAATTGAAATGCAGGCTTAATTATTGCAGGCTTCCAGAACACCAAGTGTCTAGATTAGCCCTCTTCAACCCATGTTGGGTTCCAAAAGAGAATTAAAGCCCTAATGCCCTAAGGTATCCATTGTATCAATTAAATGAATTCATAATGTGCATCCAGAATGGGGCTGGCCGTGTACCATTTTTGGGAGAATGGAGAAAATGGTCACTCAATCAAATAATTTTCTCTAGGGCTTAATTCTCTAGGAGAACCCGTTGAGAAGGGCTGTTTTAGGTACTAATCTGCCTTCTTGGATGGTGCAGTGTTTCTTGAGGTACAGGTCCTCAGAAAAGAAAGCATAAAAGAGCCTGTTGTATAATTGCCAAGAAATAAAAGAGTAATCTCTTTATTCATTTATTAGAATAGTTATTAGTAAAGGAACACCTTGCACAAAGCCCAGCAATGATTTTTTTGAACAATTTAATGTGTATCCTTTCAGACTTTTGTCTCTGCTCATAAACGTGTAAATAGTGTTTACTACAAAGAATGGGATCATGCTATTTAGTTCAGCAATTTTTTTTTCATGAACTGTTATGGATGTTCTATATAATTACATACGGATCTGCCTCTTTCTAAGGGTTGCGTGATACTCCATAGTTTGGTTTTTACAAAATACAGTTGACTCTTGAACAACTTGGGGCTTAAGGTTGCTGACTACTTGTGTAGTCGAAAATCCATGTAAAACTTAAATCGGACTTCTGCATCCTCGAATTCCAAACTGCAGATCAAAAGTAGTATGTTTCACCATTCTTCTGTTAATGGACATTTAGATCACCTCCAGTTTTTCACTTTTACGAACAATGCCATAATAAACATCTTTGTTTTAAAATTCTTGAAAATATACGTATTTCTATATTATAGACTCCAGAAGTGGAATCATTGAGTCAGGATGGGTACATTGTATTTTTTTGTTTTTATTATATAAATTTCAAATATATTCAAAGTAGAAAATAATACTATGAACCCCATGAACCCTTATCTACATCAGTAATTATCATTGCGCAGCCAGTTTTGTTTCTTGCTCACCCACACCCTCATACCCCAACACTGTATTTATTATGAAGCAAAGACATGCCATATTATCCCTCAGTATTTCAGTATGTGTCTCTAAAGGTTAAAGACACTTTTATAAACATAGTCATGATTATGTTATACCTAAAAATTAACAATAATTCCTTAATATCAGTGTTCAGTTTTTCCCAGTTGTCTTTTTTTTTTTAAATACAGTGAGTTTGTTTGAATCACAGTCCACACAAGGTCTATACATTGCATTTGGTTAATACGACTTTTTAAGTCTTTTTTTAGTGTATAGGTTTCCCCTTCTCTTATTTTTTTCTTTGTCTTATTTTTTGAAGAAGCATTTGGCCTGTACAGTTTCCAAAGTGCTAAATTTTGCTGATCGTATCCCTGTGGTGAGGTTTAGTAAGTTCGTCTGTCCTCTTTTCTGTCTGTAAGTTGGTAGTTAGATGTGGACATTTATTTCAGATTCTGATATGATTTTTTTTTGAAACAACTATTCAGCAGATACATATATGTAGTCACATCCCCCCTTAAATAAAAAGGTAGCATTCTGTGTACAATATTCAACACCTTGCTTTCTTGTCTTAATATGTTCTGAAGATCTGTCCATAACAGTATTATATAGAAATTGTTTCATTGCTTTTTACAAATGTTTAACACTTTATAATATCATTTGCCATACTTGATTTAATCAGTCCCTACTACTGATGGAACACTTTTAATATTTCACAGCCACAAACTCAGGTTATTTTGTGGCAAAAATTATTTTAACAACTGTCTAAAGAATGCATTTCCTGTGTGCAAAATAAAAATTTTACCATATAATCTAGTGATAGAGAAGACTGTGATTTGTGAATATAGAAATAATTTCCTAAATTTCCTGTTCCGGTGGGTGTAACATGAGATAGGAAAACAGGAATTACTAAGGTCCTATGCTGTCTGAGGATGGCAAGGCATTTCCGGTCAAGGACTGCCAAGGTAATTTTTTAAATTCATCTTGGCTTTGAGTTTGGGGGCCCTGCCACTTTTCTAAATAACCTTTCATCAAACTATCTCATTCTCATGATTCAGGCTTAGCTTCTGAAATCCTTGCTCTCCATCCAGCTACAAGAGGCTGCCATATTATTTTTTTTCTGTCTTTCTAAATACATTGGTCTTCTTATGGTTTTAGCCACAGCCTAGGTCTAACTTAAAGAGAGTAGATCAAGTAGGGACTGAATATGTTTATATGAGATTTCCTTGTGTGAATCTTAAGCAGTTGTTACATTTGAATATGAAAAATGAAATTAATTTAGATTTTTTTTCTGCTAAAGTACAGTATTTTTATACCCAGCCCTTCACAGAATGAATGCATATATACTCCTGTGTCTTGATTCAGTTATAAATGATCTTATCACACAAATCTTTCAGGAGAAACAGTACAGGCGACCGTGAGAAGGCTCTGAAAGTCATGCTGCAGGTTCTGCACACCTGTGACCGCCCAAGCCCCGACATGTTCTGCCTGTGTGGAAGGATCTACAAGGACATCTTTTTGGATTCAGACTGCAAAGATTCTGCCAGCCGAGACAGTGCCATTGAGTGGTAAACTCTTATCCTTAGTCAGTAGCATGTGCATCTCTGCAAAGAAGAGAATTGCAGTAGCTAAGGATCTGGGTCTTTTTCCTATGTCTGTGTGTTTGCCTATCTGCTGGCAGTGAAAAAAAAATGCCATAAATGTGGTTTGGGGATTTCCACATTCCATTTTCCCAAAGGAAATCATTAGAAACAGGGTTTTCTACTGGTGACATTCTTCCCCCCAAGTTCACTCATTTATAGAAGGCATAGTACTCTTCATCCAGAACCTTGTTCTACTGCTGTCAGGGTATTTATCTTCTCAGTGAGCTAGTCATTCCTTTATTTCCCCAATGTTTATTGAGGGTTTACTGTATGCCAGAAACTTTTCCAGGTGGTGGGGATAGAGACAGTAGATAAGAATCCCTGCCCTCATGGACCTTGCATTGCTGGTAAGGGAAGTCAGACAAAGTAAAATATATAGAACGTGAGCTGATGGTGAAGGCTATGGGGAACAGTTAAGCAGGGAGGGGTAAAAGGAGGGTTGGGAGGAGTTGTCTGCAGTTTTAGGTAGGGTGGTCAGTGAAGGCGGATAAGGATGTGAAGGTGATGAGGGAATGATAAACACCGTGGAGAAAGTGTTCTAAGGAAGGAATAGCAAAGGCAAAGACCCCGAGGAAGAAGCATGGTAGGCATGAGCAAGCAGAGAATTGCAGGAAATAGGAACAAAGATGACCCTTTTATTCTGAGTGAGATCATACAACATTGGGGTGTTTTGAGCAGAGGAGTGACAAGATCTGACTTGAATTTTAACTGAAGTACTCTCATTATTATGCAAATAATACATTTTAGGGAGTGTATCAGCTATCATTTGCTGCATAACAACTCTAAGACTTACTGGCTTAAAAATGATTTATAATTTCTCATGATTCTGTGGATTGGCCAGGCAGTTCCTCAGCTGGTTCCACTCCTAAAGCACTGGCCTCACTGCCAGAGTTGCAGTCAGCTGGAGAGTCAGCAGGGCTGAAAGGTCTAAGATGGTCTGATACTTGTTTGCCAGCTGATGCCGGTGGTGAGCCTCCATTCTCTGTCATGTGGTTCTAATCCTGGTAGACCAGCTTTCTTACATGGCAGGCAGCATTCTAAGAGATGGATGCCACAAAGCCTCTTGAGGCTTAGGATCAGGAACTCATGTAAGGTCAGTTCTGCCACATGCTATTGTTCAAAGTAAATTATGTGGAGAAATAGACTCCACCCGTGGGTGGAAGAAATGGCAAAGCTGCATTGCAAAGGTGTGTGCATGGCGGGATGGAAGACATTTGTGATCATTAAACAGTTTACCACAAGGACAAGGGCAGAAGCAGGGGGTGAGAGACTATTGAAGTAATTCAGGGGAAAACTGATAGTGGCTTGAACCAGGGTGGTAGTAATGAAAATGGTAAGTCAGAACCCAAACATATTTTGAAGGTGGAGCCAATAGCCCACATCATCCAGTTCCATCACAAGAGCTCTTGGCATTGCTGTTCCACTGTCATTTAATTCTAACTGCTGCTTCTCTCTCCACCTCTTCTCCTTCCATGCATGTTGGGGGCTCTGTCCTCTGTCCTCTACTCTCAGTCCATACACTCTTCCCTGGTGATTCCAGCCACTCTCACACCTTGGGATCCTTAGGCAGGGATCTCCAGCTCAACCTCTACCCTAAACTGTGGCCCCTCATTGTTCCCTCTTTGCATACCTCTTCTACCTCAAGATGGTGCTGGTGTTTAAGACTAAACATGTCCAAGGCTCAAGTCATTTTTTCATCTCCACAAGGTATGACTTCCAATGCCTTGCTTTCTTACTACCATCCTTTAGCTTCCTAGGCTTAATCTTTTGGTTAATGTTTGATAACTTTCACTTCATCTTACCATACAGTCAGTTCCCAATTCCACCCCTTCCATGAGTCTTCCCTCACTCCAAGCCAATTTCCCATCACCGCCACCCCCAATTAGTGTCTTTTTTTACTTTCTTGCCAGGAATGTCCTAACAGTATCCCAAGTAGGCTCCCTGCTTGGTGTCTCTTCAGTCTATCTTTCATTGATTGACACCTTGCTCTTCCTAAAGCTCAAAGACCCACCATGGCTCCCCACTCCCTACTAAATACAAATTCAAACTTTGATTATAATTCTAGGTATTCTGTAAACTTTCCCCAGCCCACCTCTAGTCCTGTTCCCCATGACCTGATATATGTCCAACTAAACCGAAGTTCCATAGGAGCTCCCCAAACTCCCATCTTTGCTCACACCCCTTTCTATGCGGGGGGTTCCCTTTCCAAATCTCTGCTGTTACAGTTCTACCCATCTTCATGCCATATCTCCAACCTTTTTAGGTGAGTCCTCCTAGACTTGAATTTGTGTGGTTTTAGGATACTATGACACTTGTTCTTATATTTTCACTAGTTGTGTGTGAATCTTGTCACCTCTACCATAGTATAGGTTCTTGGAGGGCAAGGACCTTGTGTCCTTAGTTAATCTTTATTAGTACCTAATGCACTATATGGTCAGGAAGAGTCACTCAGAGTGTTGAAGGGAAGGGTAAGGAAGGGAAATTAACATTTGGTACAGCCAAAATAGGAAGCTGTGTTCCCACCATTGTGGCTTAGAATTCAACTCCCAGGTCAGGAAATTATTACCTGTGGTTCCTTCAAGAAAGTCATAGGAGCCTTTCTTTATCCAGTTCAGAAGGTAGTGGCAGTGGGTACAGGAGCAAATGAAGCTTAGTCTTCTGGTCAGGGCATCTTGGTTCCAGTGAGACCTTGGGGATAGTCTAACCCAGGCCCTCAGGTATGGATGTGGAACATGTTGCTCAGGGAGATAGTCCAAGATCACAAACCTAGGACTGTAATCCTGAATCTAAGTTCAAGTTTTGTCTGCCCTTAAGCTGGGCCTGTTTGATTTATAGATAAGTGGTATAGAGAAGTCTCTCTGTCTGCTCTCTTCTTGGTTACTTTTCATAGTAAAGGAAAATGAAAAAAAAATCAAAGACAATAGGATATGGAATTTAAAATCCCCAAAACATACGAGGATTGGTTTTTCAATTTTATTGGAATTTTGTTGGCTGCAGTCGGAGGGACTTTCTTGGTGTTCTCCGGTCTATCTGATGGTATTTGTATTATTCCCTAAAGTTCATAAAACCAAATTTTAGCTACCTTAATTGATAAGTTCTCCCTTCCACAATCAGTATTTTGTTGGTGTGTAATTTGTCACACCAGTGATAAAATGACTGGGTTTGCAAGTCCTTGATATGAACTGTGCTACTTAAAGACATTTTTGTGTCACTACTTCATTGAGCATATTCTTTTTTTCTGATCATTATATTCATACACATAGAAGAGAAAGAAACTTTTTATGCATAGAATAAAAAGAGAATTAAAAATAGCACTATTAACCTTCTGGTTTAAAAAAGGTATTCCCAGTTTCATATCTTGTTTTCTATTCTAATGTAATAGATCCCTGCCCCTTCTTTCAGTTTATGCCACTGCTCTTTATCTCTTTGAGATCCAGGATTCTGGCAATACTGCTTCATATATGAAAAAAACAATTCTATTTTGTGATACAAACAAATAGCCTGCAGAGAAATAGCCCATAATTAATGCAATTTCTATGTAATAAAAAATAATCAATGTAGAAATGGAGCCTAACCCTACAAATGAGATTTGGACATCAAATTGTGGTCTCCTTTGGAGGATAGGATTATAATAGGTTTTAAATATCTTTTGTGCACTTTAATATAGTTTCTTTATATGAAGATCACGGTTTTATTTTTTTAAAAACCTGATGAAAAATTCTAAAACTCCCTAGTATAATTTACTGTGTTGCAATTATGACATTTTAAAGCAGCTATTTGAGTATTGCATGTAGCTCTTTGTAAAGATGGGAGGTGGAGGAAGCTGGAAACCAATAAGTGAGAGTAGTAAAAATTTTTATGAGAACATTGGTTTATACTATTGTTTACACATTTTTTTCTTCTACCATAATAAGATGATATAATAAGAATTTGTTGGTTCTGTAATCGTAGGTATCGCACAGGATTCGAGCTCCAGTCATCTCTTTATTCGGGAATTAACCTTGCAATTTTACTGATAGTTGCTGGACAACAATTTGAAACATCCATGGAACTAAGGAAAATAGGTAAAGCTATTTATTACTGCAGATGTTGATGCTTTGGTAACACAAGTTCAGCATTAAAAATTACGTTCAAATAATTGGCATTGTATTTCAAAAGGAACAATTACTCTCTGATGGCACACCTGCGATAGTAGCCAAAATAAGATACCCACTTTTTCTCTAGCTAAAGGCTTGCATAATTTGATAGAAACTAGAAATATTTTTTAATAACTTTATCTAAAATTCAAATTCTTAAGGTATCCAGCTGAATACTTTGTTGGGAAGAAAAGGGAGCCTGGAGAAAATGGACAATTACTGGGATGTGGGTCAGTTCTTCAATGTCAGCATGTTGGCCAGTGATGTCGGGAAGGCCATCCAGGCAGCAGAGATCTTGTTCAAACTGAAACCTCCAGTCTGGTGAGTTGTATCTGCATGTTGTCATTACCCATCTGAAAATCTGATCTTGTTCTAAAATGTTTCTGCCAGGGAGAAAAGGTGTAAATGCAAAAATAAATAAATGAATAAATAAGAATTTCTATGTTTCTCCTTCTGGCTTCTTCATTAATACAAAGTTGATGCAGAAAGAACAGCTCTTAGGGATCACTTGGTTTTGTGTGAAGGGAGGGAAAGACAGACAGACAGATGGACACACACACACACACACACACACGATATATCGCTACATGCTACATCTCCAAGATGAAATCCTCAGTCCTATTAATTTCTTCAGGTCATCTAGGTCCTCAAGGGCAAAACATTCTTTAGTACTAGTACATATCCTGTATTTGTGAAAAGCAGGTAGTAGAGCTAAAATACACAGCAAGAAAATGGTGTTCATTACAAATGAAGACTGGAACTAAAAGGCTAGTAATAGGTATGTGGTGGAGAAAATGTGACACATCAGTGGCCATAGGCTAGCCCATTATGTAGTCATTAAAAATGTGCAAGAAACAATACCTGGGAATGTGGAAATGCATTTATGGTTTATCATAGAATAAGAAAAGCCAGCTGCAGGGTATACTTTTCTATATCGGTGCTTCTCAAACTTTGGCATGTATCAGAATCACCTGTATTGATTAAAACACAGGTTGCTGGGTCCACCCTTAGGATTTCTAGTTCAAAAGGTCTAGGGTGGGGCCTGAGAATTTGCATTTACAAATTACAAGGTGATGCTGCTGGTCTGAGGACCACACTTTGAGAACCAATGTTTTGTATGGACTCGTTTTAATTACAAATATGTGTTTGGTATGTGACTCAGAGAAAGGTCTCAGTGGATTAGACAATATCTTACTTTCCCAATAGATATTATGCTCCATTAGAATTGTGGTTATCTTGTTGAGACTATCTTGCTATAGTCTCATAATAGATGCTCAGTAGATATTTGTGTAATGAATAAATAATGAATGATGGATTTTCTCCAAAATATTGACAGTGGTTATCTCAGGGTGATAGCCTTATAAGTTTTCAATCTGTTTTTCCCTCTCTTTTCTATTTTCTGCTTTGTCAGAAAATGTGTTTGGATTACTTGTATAATTTTTTAAAAATTACTTTACACTAACAGTCCATCTTTATCAGCGCCCCCCTTTATTTCCCAGCCCAGTGAGTCAGGCTGGACTCCCAAGAGGTAGGATTCTCTTCAGTCATATCTAGTTTGACCCCATTTCTTTCCAGTTTGAAAGACTTAAATTTGGTCCACAAACCGTATCATCCTCTGGAAAGTTCTCTGAGGCCGAGAGAACACAGGGGCAGGCTGAGCATCCAGCCTTCCTGGAGTGGCTGCTATTTCCAGAATCCTGATTTTAACTGACTCTGTCGGGATCAGACTCAAGGCTTGAATACATTCCCATTACATCAACACCTGAGCTGACTTATAGGGTTGATACCTATTGCTGTAAGTCCAAGACCACCCTTAGGTTCATGATTTGCTAGGACTCATGGAATTCAGAAAAGCCGTTATACTCATGGTAATGGCTTATTACAGTAAAAAGTATAAATATTAAAATCATCAGAGCCAAAGGGCACATATGGCAGAGTCCAGGGGAGACCAGGCACAAGCTTCCAGTTGTCCTCTCCCACTGGAGTCATATGGACAGTGCTTAATTGTCTCAGCAGTGATGTGTGACAACATGCACAAAATATTGCCAACCAGGTAAGCTCACCAAATCTTGGTGTCCAGGGTTTTCATTGGGGGTCAGTCATACAGGCATAGAACATCCATGTAGCTAACTTTGGTCACTGAGTTCCCAGCCTTTCTGGAAATCACACTGATAACAATGTGGCCCAAGGCTCCCACCATGAATCGTGTTGGTTAGCATAAACTATGTGGTATGACCCTAGCCCCAAGTGAAAAAAAGACTCTTAGCAGGCAAGATATCTGAAGGGCTTAGAGATGACCTTCCAGAAGCCAGTCAAGAGCCAGACATTACTTTGGAAAGTGTAGAGTTTGGACAGCCCAGGCTTGCTGAGTTAATCCTTTACTGCACAGCACCCAAGCAAGTCAGACTCTAACTTATCTATCTTCCCGGGATAGCTCCAGACTTTATCCTCAGAGGGCAAAATAATACTCTGATGCTTTCAGCAGAAACATCCCCATTCTGTATCAGAGAAAATATGACCACCACTGCCTGGCAGCTATGTTCAAAAAGTTCGATTTGTCTGAAGACAATAAAGGTGTGGTTAGATTCAAGATCTCATAACATCAAAGTCTACATGGGCAGATCTAATTTTCTAAAAAGAGAAGACAATAAATTTCACATTAGTGATTGCCAGGGGTCAAGGAGGAGATGGAGATGAGATGAAAGTAGGCATGGCTATAGAAGGGAAACAGAAGGGATCCTTTTAGTGATGGAAATGTTTTCTTTTTTGGCCGTATCAATGTCAGGATTCTGGTTGCAATATTGTTCTAGAATTTGGCGAGATGTTACCATTGGGGTACATGAGTCTCTCTGTATTGTTTCTTGCAACTATATGTAAATCTACAGTTATTTCAAAAAAAAGTTGAATTAGAAAAGAAAAAGACAGTGAGTTTGAAATTTTGTCATTTTGCAATTGTTTTGAACTTCAAACTACTTGCTCTTGTTATTTAAGATAGTAAATGCTCGCCAATCTCTGTTTTTTGAACACTGTGCACCAAAATGAGGTTTAGCCCAATGTTGGTAAAAAGCTACGTTGCATGATTTTGTTGGACAAACTTATTTTGCCTACTGTTTGGGTTTCTTTAAGTATGTGGCCGCCAAATGATTAAGAAGCACTCGCTATACAATATGAATTTAAGTAATTTTCGGGAAACTTAAAGAAATAGAATTGAATTCAGTTTCTTTTGGAATCTAATTTATTGGTGCTTGTGATTTTTCTAGGTACCTGCGATCTGTAGTTCAGAATTTGTTATTAATTGAGCGCTTCAAGAAACCCGTTATCGAACATTCACCCAAGCAAGAACGGCTTAACTTCTGGTTAGATATGATTTTTGAGGCAACAAATCAAGTTACTAATGGACTCAGATTTCCCGTAAGATATGCTAAATATATTTCTTTAAGAGAAAAAAAAAGAAACTGGGGATTGGTGCTAATTATTGAATACTCTGAAAGGAAGAAAACCTTAGAGTAATTTAAAAAGTCAGAATATCCATCAGTCTTAGTAAAATCTGCTGGTGATAGATCAACTCACTAGAAAAAGTTGACTATACAGTTGACCCTTGAACAACAGGGGTTTCAGTTTCACGGGTCTCCTTATACGTAGATTTTTAAAAACAAGTACTGTATTCTCTAAAATAGTTCTCAGCTAGGAGTGATTTTGTTCCCCAGAGGACATTTGGCAATGTCTGAAGACATTTTTGATTGTCACAGTTGTGGGGAGGTGTTGTAACTGTCAGCTCCTTGGGTGGAGGCCAGGGATGTGGCTAAACATCCCACAATGCACAAGACAGTCCCATCTCCCAGACAGTTATCCAGCCCATAATGTCAGTAGTGTCAAGTTGGAGAAACCCTACTCAAAAACAATGCAGTACTAATAGTGAAATTTTGGAATTCAAGCTGTTTGCTGTCGAGCTTTGGATTGCCTCCAATGCCACTAATTACTTTTTAAAACTTTATTGAAAAGTAAAATTGCTTTAATCTTTTCATTGAGTTTTTATTTTAATTATATGACCATCTTATAAGGAATCATAAATAAGATATTTAAGCATCCTGAAAACTGAACTTTAGCTAATTGTGTTTCATAATTATACCATAAGATTTTGTGAACATGTGGTGTTCAAGATTTTCATTAAACAGCTAATAAAGGATTAAGTTATTTGAAATGTTTATGATAATGATTTTGTTCCGGGGTAATAAGTTTTAAAATCTTCTTTTAATTACAAAATATTTCAAACCTGTTGAAAGGTACAAAAAAATAACGGAACAGACACTCAGGTACTCTCGTTTAGCAATTTTAAACATGTTACTTTATCTGCTTTGGAAATTTATTCTCTCTCTTTCCATCACTTTCTTCCTCACCTCCTCCCCCTCTCTTCCTCTCTCCTTCCCTCCCTCTCTACCCCAACAAAATCAAACATTGCTGATGGAATGTCACCTCACTTTTTATCCCCCTGCATTTTTTACAGACTTGCTATCTACCTGTGCTCTCAGCTTATTTTTTCATTTCTCTCAAAAACTGTAGTGTTCCTCTTTTTTCTTATCTCCTCGGGCAGGCCTTTCTTGACTACCCTGTCTAAAGAAATGCCCCCCCTCCAATTCTCACCTTTATTCTGCCTTATTTTTTCAGATCTCTATAATAACATATTGCATATCCCAATCTATCAATCTGTTTGTTCCTCTGCCGCAACAGAGCAAAGACCTCCTGAAGGGAGGGACTTTTGTTGTAGGCTGCTGTGTCCATGGGTCCTAGAGCAGTGTTGGCATACTATAGGTACTTCATGAGCGCTTGTGGAGAGTACAGCTTCCCACTTCCTCACTGGGCAGGGTAACCTGTTATACATTTCTATGCATTACAGAAATCTGTCCTTCTTTTAGGTTCTGGTGATAGAACCAACCAATGTCTACCAGCCTTCGTACATCTCTGTAAGCAGTGAAGCTGAGGCTAGGATGATTTCTCTGTGGTATGTCTCATCCGAAGAAATGGTAAGAAAAGAATCACCAACAGCTCTCTCTTTATTCTGTATTATTTAATCAAAGATTTGATTTTCAAGTAGAGGAGTCTTTGTTGTAGGACTTGAAGGAGCAGGCACCTGTGCCTCACTTCTGAGTTATGGAAGTATATGAGAATATAATCACAGATGAAAGAAAGGAAGCAAGTTTTTCCATTATATGTGTGTGTATGTATATATACGTATGTATGTATGTATGTATGTATGTATGTGTGTATATACATGAATGAATATAAGCTTGTTAAAAAGTTAAACCATGAGGAAGTACATAGGGAATAAAGGGGGAGTCCCTAAAATTCCCCCAAACCTGGTCCCCATTCCCATCTCCAGTGATTTGGTGGCTGTCCACCTATACCTTTTCCTAAACTCGTTTGTATGTGTTTAATGTATATATAACATGTGCATTATATATATTAATATGTAATACATATATTTGAGACAAGCATTGTCATTAAAGTGAGATCATATAGTATATATTCATTATTTTGCAACTTGCTCTTTTTTAACTGATATATGGACAGGTTTTTATATAGCACACACCGATACACCTGATTCTTTAAGTGTAGTATTCCTGATATTCCCGTATCATGTGGTGCATTTCTGGGTATGGGTGAACCATAATTTATTTTATCACTTTCCTGCTAATGCACGTTTAGGTCTTAGTTTTGTACTCTAGCCAATGGTAGACACGTTGATACACCCTTCCATGCTTGTGTAGGTGTTTCAGGATCAGAGATTCCTAGAAATGGACCTGCCAGATTCAGGATTACACACGTTTAAATTTCATTAGCTGCTGTCACATTTGTACCTTTCCAGTTTATAATCACACCAACAATAAGGAAAAGGAAACAATTTAATTGCCCATTAAAGAGATTACAGAAATGCTGGGCCTGGCCTAATGATTTATGATAACAGCTATATTTTCATTTCTATGTGTCTAAAGTATTTCACTAGCTTTTTCCTTTAATAAAATATATTTTTTAATTTTTCGATTAGAGATGACATTAAATATTTTATATTAGAAACAGATGTACAGTATAGTGGTTAGATATTTATATAATTTACGAAGAGATACCCTGATTAGTTATTACAGTATAGTTATTACAGTATTATTGACTGCCTTCCTTAAGCTGTAAATAAAATATTTTGTAGTAATAAAAAGATATAGCACATTTGACAAGTGCATTAGATAGATCTGTTTGCTATGTCTATGTTTTCATGGAGTATGGAGAGAGTTCTGCCATTAACTTGGCAAAGAAGGATTATTTTTTTCCTGGAAACAAGTATGTAAGCAAATAATCAGGTGAAAGTAAGCAATATTTTAAAAAATAAAATGCAACATTGGAGAATAAGCAGAGGCTCAAAGTCATATTAGAAATTCCTTATCAGAAATAGTTATGATACAACTTCCCATTGTTCAATGAGTATAAAGTTGGAGTTATGCTAGATGAATCAGTTGTGGCAGCCTGCTATACAGCATAGTGCCTGGAGTTAACAATACAGTATTGTGCACTTCAAAATTTGTTAAGAGGGTAAATTCCGTATTATATGTGTATACACACACACAAAAGCAAAAACCAAGGGACACAAGGACATTTGGATATGTCTGTTATTTTGATGGTGATAATGATGTTATGAGTGTTCACATATGTTTAAATTTATCATATTATGCATATTAAATATGTACATTTTTTCGTATATCAGTTACACTTTATTAAAGTATAAAAAAAGAAATAGTCATAAATGATATCTTAAGTTGTCTTAGTCTGTTTTAGCTGCTGTAACAATACCGCAGACTAGATGACTTAAACAACAGAAATTTGTTTCTCGCAGTTCTGGAGGCTAGGAAGTCTGAAATCAGGTTGGCAGCATGATCTGATTCTGGTGAGAGCCCACTTCCTGGTTTGCAGATAGTAGTCTTCTTGCTGTGTCCTCACATGGTGGAGGGAGAGGAAAAAGCGGGAGGGAGTGAGAGAGGGAAGGAGGGAGGGAGAGAGAGAGGAAAAAAACTCTCTCCTGTCTCTTCTTAAAAGGGCACTACTCCAGTCCTGAGGACTCCACCATCATGACCTAATCACCTCCCAAAAGCCCCACTTCACACCATCACACCAGGGGTTAGGGCTCCAACGAATGAATTTACGGGGACACAATCATTCAGTCCATGACATAAGCTTAAGCTAATTAACCTTGTCTGGTATTTAACAGTGCAGCAACCTTTTCATTGATAATAGAGTCAGCAGCCATTAGTGAAGATGAGCTGCCATAATGTGCTTGGGGCTTTTTTCTTCCTGCACTGTGTACCTTAAATATTTGAGTGCTAAAGAGAAAAATTAAAGCTATGATAAAATACATGCTGTTCATACAGGTATATAGCATTTGAAGAATGCTTTCATCTTCTATTAAATTTGCCTCTTTGAGTTTTTTTTAACCTTTTATTGAAGTACAACATATACAAAGAAAAGTACATCAATCATAAATGTACAGTTTGATGGGTTTTTACTAAGTGAACACACCTGGGTACCCAGTGCAGGTCAAGAAGGAGGCATCAGCAGGCCCCACCCACCAAAGCCTTGTTCATGCTCCCTTTGTGCCCCTCTCCAGATACTATCTCCACGAAGCACCAAGTTCTCAGTGTTGGAATTCTTGTACTAGAGACCACCATCGCTTATTTTCTTTGTGTCATTGATGCCACTATGATACAAGAGAATTTTCAAAATTCTGATCTTCAGTCTCACTATTCCATTGATATATGTACAAAACACCTCATATTTTGACAAGGAGTTGCAGAAAAAACTAATCCTACTAAATTGACTCCATACTTTTACAGCGAACTGATTTTAGTCTCATGGAATTCTACAATCTTTGTCCACTTCATTTGAATCCTATAATGGTTGCCGACCTTTAATGGAAATTTCCATTGGTATATATAATATCTTGCTAGTTGTAAATGTTTTACTTTGTTTGTATATAGTCCATAATAAGAAATGGAAAAGAACTATATAAGCAACAAATGTTAGTTTTCCTTGATTGATGAAATGTTTTACACAAGTACTTATAGTTGTCAGAGCAAATGTCTGAGAGAAATATAAATTGCTTTTTTTCTCTGAGATGAAGCTTTGCTTTTGCCTTCATTTACAGTTTTGAAATTCTGCAGATTGTGAAAGCAAGCATATTTGCTTGGAGTAAGATGACATTTCTCTACACAAAATTGCATTTTTCCCTGGTGGCTATAGATGGTGGGAGAACTAACACACACACACACACACACACACACACACTCACACTCACACTCACACACTCACATTCATTCTCTCTCTCT